AATAATAGTAAGAACATATTTGGGATATTTTGAAATGTATAAACATACACATAAAAGAACGTCTAAACAGGGTTGGCTCTGCTCTTTAACAATTTTTTGTCAGTTGGAAGCTGGGTGGGGAGGGGGGTTTCAAGGTACCAGAGCGAGCCGCTTTTGCGTCTATGATAATATGTTCTACACTATAATCATCTCTTAATGTTCTACGATGATTTAAAACCACACAGTTTTGGGGTGATATGGTACAACAACATTGTTCTCACGCCCTGGTAACACATCCTGCCAGTCCCGCAAGAATCGTGTCATCGTTGTAGCTGGTTCGCATTTAGGACATAGTGCTTATGGGAAGCTCCGAGTTTTGTGATGCCGGAACTCAGCTCAAGTCATCTCATACTAGACATCTTCATTCAGTGCTGGAATTTACCCAAAGTAACTTTTCTTATTTGGATATTATCTGAACAAACAAACAAATATTAAAAGCTATATAAAGCATATTGTTTACGATTATTTCAGAGGATGAAAGTCAAAGAACAATTAGCACAGTAAAACATACATATATACATTTCTACAGTGTAACGATATAAAGAAGAAGAGGATGACAATGATGATGATGATGATGATGGAGGTGAATACGAAACTACGGCTGCGGCTGCTGGCTAGGCTCCAGGAGGCAGTTTCCTCCCCCTAATTAGCATAGAGCAGGATGGCAGACGAGATCTGTGCTGGAGCTGGAGCTGCTGGACCTCGTCCAGGCTTCCAAGTGGGCAGGTCGCCGCTCTAACCGGGGCACACTCCTCACTACAGCACCGTCTTCATTCCAAGACTTTCGTCCTCCCGACACTACAGGATTGAATACTACATCGATGAGATGAGCTCCGACCTGTCCCCCTGCGACACAGACTAGGAGAGGTACACTTGAAATATTCGGTTGTCGACAACTGTCTGTCTGTGGCTGTCACCAATCACAACGGAATTTCGGAGATTGTCAGATTGTTTCTCAGTCTGTAAATTAATTACTCATACATATCTAACATCTTGGATACTCTTTCTGCACCGTTTGCCATGCGAATTATTATAATTCTGTATCAGAAAATGAAAATATGAGAGGGCAGCAGATATATTTTTATGAACACACATCATTTATGTGATCAGTGTTGTTATTTTCTCCCCATTCATATGATGGAGTCGGAAGAATTCCGTTGAAATCAATAACTAATTGTGGGAAACAGTGAACTCCTAGGCTCAACTGACAAATATCCTGCTATTGTATGTGAGTGTGATTGTAGTGAATTGTTTTCACACAGGGCAGGTGATCACTGACAACCATAGATGTGTGTGTGTTATTGTTATTTTAATGATATCACCAGTAACTAAGGAGTTTAGTCAATTATGTGCATAGCTGTAGCAGTCAGTCATCCAATAATAATAATATATAAAAGTAAACACGCACAGTACTCACTATACTCTTCTCTAGTTTCACTTTAATGCTGTCTTTTAATTGGAGCATTTTGTTAATTATTGTGTAGTATTTAAAACATGATCAAGTTTAAGCTTTTCTCCTTTACATAATGTGGTACAGATTCATAAGATCTTGCAGTTTCCCTATCAGCTGATTACATACCAGCTCATTAGCTCTCATGTACCTTTAGAGCCGGTCTGTTGTCATTGTTCCGGTATTGCTGTGTGATATCCAGTTGTAACACCAGTCAGCCTAGCTGTTAAGAATTTTATTTTAGTGTAACCTTCAAGTGCACACCAGTAGTTCACAAGGTAAGGGTTCAAGACTGTACAGGCGGCTGCTTGTAGCATGTTTTCATTCATATCTGCCCACTGTTACCTGCTATATTTCATATCTGTTGGTGCCCACTGTTACCTGCTATATTTCATATCTGTTGGTGCCCACTGTTACCTGCTATATTTCATATCTGTTGGTGCCCACTGTTACCTGCTATATTTCATATCTGTTGGTGCCCACTGTTACCTGCTATATTTCATATCTGTTGGTGCCCACTGTTACCTGCTATATTTCATATCTGTTGGTGCCCACTGTTACCTGCTATATTTCATATCTGTTGGTGCCCACTGTTACCTGCTATATTTCATATCTGTTGGTGCCCACTGTTACCTGCTATATTTCATATCTGTTGGTGCCCACTGTTACCTGCTATATTTCATATCTGTTGGTGCCCACTGTTACCTGCTATATTTCATATCTGTTGGTGCCAACTGTTACCTGCTATATTTCATATCTGTTGGTGCCCACTGTTACCTGCTATATTTCATATCTGTTGGTGCCCACTGTTACCTGCTATATTTTCATATCTGTTGGTGCCCACTGTTACCTGCTATATTCATATCTGTTGGTGCCCACTGTTACCTGCTATATTTCATATCTGTTGGTGCCTACTGTTACCTGCTATATTTCATATCTGTTGGTGCCTACTGTTACCTGCTATATTTCATATCTGTTGGTGCCCACTGTTACCTGCTATCATTCATATCTGTTGGTGCCCACTGTTACCTGCTTTCATTCATATCTGTTGGTGCCCACTGTTACCTGCTATCATTCATATCTGTTGGTGCCCACTGTTACCTGCTATATTTCATATCTGTTGGTGCCTACTGTTACCTGCTATCATTCATATCTGTTGGTGCCCACTGTTACCTGCTATATTTCATATCTGTTGGTGCCCACTGTTACCTGCTATCATTCATATCTGTTGGTGCCCACTGTTACCTGCTATCATTCATATCTGTTGGTGCCCACTGTTACCTGCTATATTTCATATCTGTTGGTGCCCACTGTTACCTGCTATATTTCATATCTGTTGGTGCCCACTGTTACCTGCTATATTTCATATCTGTTGGTGCCCACTGTTACCTGTTATATTTCATATCTGTTGGTGCCCACTGTTACCTGCTATATTTCATATCTGTTGGTGCCCACTGTTACCTGCTATATTTCATATCTGTTGGTGCCCACTGTTACCTGCTATATTTCATATCTGTTGGTGCCCACTGTTACCTGCTTTCATTCATATCTGTTGGTGCCCACTGTTACCTGCTATATTTCATATCTGTTGGTGCCCACTGTTACCTGCTATATTTCATATCTGTTGGTGCCCACTGTTACCTGCTATATTTCATATCTGTTGGTGCCCACTGTTACCTGCTATATTTCATATCTGTTGGTGCCCACTGTTACCTGCTATCATTCATATCTGTTGGTGCCCACTGTTACCTGCTATATTTCATATCTGTTGGTGCCCACTGTTACCTGCTATATTTCATATCTGTTGGTGCCCACTGTTACCTGCTATATTTCATATCTGTTGGTGCCCACTGTTACCTGCTATATTAACACTCTTGCCCAAGAAAATCAGTTGGAGACAAAACTTAGAACCCAGAATTCCTGAACAAATACTTTAAAAAGCACAGGTCACTAATAAATTTGTAAATATTTATTTAAATACGTTTTAAAACTTTATAAATATATAAATAAATAAAGAGCAGTAATTGATGAACATAAGCGATGCAGAAAATGAAAGGATTACGCTTCCTATCGCCTAAAAGATAATTGATAAAGTTTTTCACTAGACTTGTCTGGGACTGGCCAATGCAGCAATGCTGATTAAGCATCGTTCGTTCGTTTGTTCTTGTAAGTAAAATGTAAGCAATGTGTTTGGGCATGTACGTATGCGTGTATGTATGTACCTATGTGTGTATGTATGTGTGTTGGTGGATGTATGTATGCATATTTAGCTGTGTAAGTATGTGGGTGTATATGTGTGTACTTGGGTATGTATGTATGTGTGTAAAGATGTGAGTGTATGTATAAATGTGTGTGTGTATGCATGTATGTGTATTTATGCATGTATATGTGAATGTATGTATGCATGCATGTGGTTGTATGAATGCATGTATGTATGCATGAATGTGGGTGTATGTATTCATGTAAGTGTAAATTTGTGGTTGTGGGCATATGTTGGTGTCTGTACATGTGATTGTATATGTGTGTATGCATGGATGCATGTATAGGTATGTATGTATGGAATGTGTGTGTGTGCATGTATATCCTTAAATGTATGTGTGTGTGTTTTCTGTTTGTGCATTTATGTCTATGTATGTGTATGTGTTTTATGCTTGTATATGTATGTAGATGCGTGTGTGTATGTATCATGTATGTCTGTATATGAGTTCACATGTATGAGAACGTAGGAGTATGTATACATATCTGGAGTGTGTACGATTGTGTACAAATGATGTGTGTATGCATTCTTCTATAATTTATATTTCTTTATTATATCCATAACATGCATTATTGATAACAGGCATTGGTACTCTGAAAGATGAGTGCTTAGAAGGGCAGAATGTCAGATGGGCCTGCATGCCCAATTTGTAACCCTTTGAAAATAAAGATTGTTCGTTCATTCGTTCTTGTCAGGGATTTGTAATAATAATGCTTAGTTTGTGTTGTCTCTTTGGCAAGTATGTTAATGAACTGCCACAGCGTAATCACTGGAGCTGGTTATATTTGTGAACTAGCAGAGCACAGACAATCAATCTAGAAACATTGGTGGACATCAAACTTTACGGGTCGCTGAGTGAATTACAAAAGACAGAGAAGTTCATACTAGGGACAGCATTGCAGATATAGATAATTTATTTCAAGCGAACGAAAGAAGAAGTATGTTCTGAGAGACAGAGCATCACATGGTTCTGTGATTTTAACTTGTATGTGAGTAATTTTAACCAACAAATTGTGTCTCATTGTATCAGTGTTTATTGAATCTTTCAGGGAGTTTCCTGGTTCCAGCAGATCTCACAGTGATGGTCACTTTGGTCAGCTTTTGCCTGTAGACAGAGATTTGGCAGAGATGCTTTAAGCAGAGCTGGCGGTCAGTGTTGTATCATGTTGTGTCTCGGTGTGACTGGCCATGGTTTCCTTGCTTGTCCTTCATCAGAGCCACTTTCCGTTAGACCCGACCATGAAAGTTTACGGTATGAGTAATCAACCCAAAAGTTCACCCGAGCGCAAGTACTGGAGCAAAGAGGCAGATGTCTCTGTGGCTTCTGTCCATGAGTTCGATCATGTGCATGACCTCAAGAGCAGAGTTCAAGCAACTACTAGCACAGCTAATGTTGGTGACGACAGTCAAGCAAGCGACATCAGTCCCAATGAAGACCTGACTGAAAACTGTTCCACTGTTGAGTTGCTCAAGACAAGTAGAGACAACTTTTCTACATGTGAAGAAAAAGTGAAGGAGTTGTCCCCAGATGATACTGATGCTGCTGTCTCAGTTTCCAGTGACACAACCTTAGAGCCAGAGCCCTCAGATGTGCAGCTCAAGTCACATGAAGATCAAATGAGCAGTTTATCTTTAGACAAATGTGAGCACACAAATGGCAGCTTGAGGTTATCCTCAACATCTGTGCTGGACAGTAAGGCACAGAGAGAAACATCCAGCTGTGTTAGAGTGATGCCTTCCAGCGTCTTCACAGATGACTTAACGGTGCAGGTGGGTTCCAGTGCCAGGTTTTCTAAAGTGTTGGAGAATATTTCCTTGCCTTTGTTGTACATACCCACCACTAGACAACTTGTAGCTGGCAGTGTGGATGGACCCAACCCCAGAGAATCTACACAGATTATGAGGGATCTGAATATTTTGTACACTCCAGACAGAGATTATTCATATAACGGTTCGGAGTCGGCAAGTTCTACCTTAGATCTGTCATCTTGTGAGCTTCTAAGTCCCCATTCCCCAATGCCAAAGGCACACAGTACTCAGGAATTTCACTTTTTGGGTAGATACAGCGACAGCGATCGTTTGACTGTCAACAGCACAGATAGCTGTCCAGGATTTCACAACAGCTTTGAACCCAGCTCTCATATGTTTGCTGATAACTCTAGTCTATCCAGCCTCAGCACAGGAACTGATTTCTCAGTGTCTGCCGTCTCTGTCAGTGAGAATGACTTGAACGCAGAGTCCAAGAGTCTGTCTTGTGACGTCACAGACGAAGCAGCTTTTGTGGACATTAGCCTCCATTCCAGGAACTCTTTTGATAAGGGCTATAACTCTTCATCACTGGATAGTGGATATGGAGATAAGAAAGCACCCTCATTTCAGACAGCCAGAAAAAAGTCTTTTTCTGGTCTCAAGTAAGCACTGTCTTGTTTTTATTTGTTGGTTGTCTGGTCTCAAGTAAGCACTTTCATGTTTATCTGTATTTGTTGATTGTCTGGTCTCAAGTAATTAGTCTTGTTTGTCTGTATTAGTTGATTGACTGGTCTCAAATCAGCACTTTCTTGTTTGTCTGTATTAGTTGATTGACTGGTCTCAAATCAGCACTTTCTTGTTTGTCTGTATTAGTTGATTGACTGGTCTCAAATAAGCACTTTCATGTCTGTATTAGTTGAATGACTGGTCTCAAGTAAGTACTGTTTGGTTTTTATTTACTAGTTGATTGTCTGGCCTTAATGGGCACCACGGTACCACTGGTAACTCAGTAGTCAGGTGTGAGAGTTTCAGTCTCTGTCATGGTTCTTGCATCTGTCCACTAGATGGGCGCCTGACGGTACCACTGGTGACTCAGTAGTCAGGTGTGAAAGCAACAGTCTCTGTCATGGTTCTTGCATCTGTCTGTGCCACTGGATTGGCTCCTGACGGTACCACTGGTGACTCAGTAGTCAGGTGTGAGAGTGGCAGTCTCTGTCATGGTTCTTGCATCTGTCCACTAGATGGGCGCCTGACGGTACCACTGGTGACTCAGTAGTCAGGTGTGAAAGCAACAGTCTCTGTCATGGTTCTTGCATCTGTCTGTGCCACTGGATTGGCTCCTGACGGTACCACTGGTGACTCAGTAGTCAGGTGTGAGAGTGGCAGTCTCTGTCATGGTTCTTGCATCTGTAAGATGAGGCAGGTCCTTCAGCACTTTATGCTTGTGCCTTTTGCCCTTGATTATTTGCATCAGACTGCACACGTCTGTCCGCTGTCACTCTCTCCCACGTTGTTGTATCTGTGACAAAAGCTTTACTGTCTTGTTTACAGACATCTTTAAATCACATTTATGGTTTTCTAATTGGCCTTTTTCCTGTGGCTGGCTCTTTGTAAATGATATCTTTTGAAATCCGTCCATCCTCTGTTTGATACACATGGTGCAGCCACTGTCTATTTGATACACATGGTGCAGCCACTGTCTATTTGATTCACATGGTGCAGCCACTGTCCGTTTAAGACACATGGTGCAGCCACTGTCTGTTTGATACACATGGTGCAGCCACTGTCTATTTGATACACATGGTGCAGCCACTGTCCGTTTGATACACATGGTGCAGCCACTGTCTGTTTGATACACATGGTGCAGCCACTGTCCGTTTAAGACACATGTTGCAGCCACTGTCTATTTGATACACATGGTGCAGCCACTGTCTGTTTGATACACATGGTGCAGCCACTGTCTGTTTGATACACATGGTGCAGCCACTGTCTGTTTGATACACATGGTGCAGCCACTGTCCATTTGAGACACATGGTGCAGCCACTGTCTGTTTTATACACATGGTGCAGCCACTGTCTGTTTGATACACATGGTGCAGCCACTGTCTATTTGATACACATGGTGCAGCCACTGTCCGTTTGATACACATGGTGCAGCCACTGTCTGTTTGATACACATGGTGCAGCCACTGTCCGTTTAAGACACATGGTGCAGCCACTGTCTATTTGATACACATGGTGCAGCCACTGTCTGTTTGATACACATGGTGCAGCCACTGTCTATTTGATACACATGGTGCAGCCACTGTCTGTTTGATACACATGGTGCAGCCACTGTCTGTTTGATACACATGGTGCAGCCACTGTCTGTTTGATACACATGGTGCAACCACTGTCCGTTTGATACACATGGTGCAACCACTGTCTGTTTGATACACATGGTGCAGCCACTGTCTATTTGATACACATGGTGCAGCCACTGTCTATTTGATACACATGGTGCAGCCACTGTCTATTTGATACACATGGTGCAGCCACTGTCTGTTTGATACACATGGTGCAGCCACTGTCTGTTTTATACACATGGTGCAGCCACTGTCTATTTGATACACATGGTGCAGCCACTGTCTATTTGATACACATGGTGCAGCCACTGTCTATTTGATACACATGGTGCAGCCACTGTCTATTTGATACACATGGTGCAGCCACTGTCTATTTGATACACATGGTGCAACCACTGTCCGTTTGATACACATGGTGCAACCACTGTCCGTTTGATACACATGGTGCAGCCACTGTCCGTTTGATACACATGGTGCAGCCACTGTCTATTTGATATACATGGTGCAGCCACTGTCTATTTGATACACATGGTGCAGCCACTGTCTATTTGATACACATGGTGCAGCCACTGTCCATTTAGGACACATGGTGCAGCCACTGTCCGTTTGATACACATGGTGCAGCCACTGTCCATTTAAGACACATGGTGCAGCTACTGTCCGTTTGAGACACATGATGCAGCCACTGTCAGTTTGAGACACATGGTGCAGCCACTGTCCGTTTAAGACATATGGTGCAACCACTGTCCGTTTAAGACACATGGTGCAGCCACTGTCCGTTTGAGACACATGGTGCAGCCACTGTCCGTTTAAGACACATGGTGCAGCCACTGTCCGTTTGAAACACATGGTGCAGCCACTGTCCATTTAAGACACATGGTGCAGCCACTGTCCATTTAAGACACATGGTGCAGCCAGTGTCCATTTGATACACATGGTGCAGCCACTGTTCCTTTGATAAACATGATGCAGCCACTGTCTATTTGATTCACATGGTGCAGCCACTGTCTGTTTAAGACACATGGTGCAGCCACTGTCTGTTTGATACACATGGTGCAGCCACTGTCTATTTGATACACATGGTGCAGCCACTGTACGTTTGATACACATGGTGCAGCCACTGTCTGTTTGATACACATGGTGCAGCCACTGTCCGTTTAAGACACATGGTGCAGCCACTGTCTATTTGATACACATGGTGCAGCCACTGTCTGTTTGACACACATGGTGCAGCCACTGTCTATTTGATACACATGGTGCAGCCACTGTCTGTTTGATACACATGGTGCAGCCACTGTCTGTTTGATACACATGGTGCAGCCACTGTCCATTTGAGACACATGGTGCAGCCACTGTCTGTTTTATACACATGGTGCAGCCACTGTCTGTTTGATACACATGGTGCAGCCACTGTCTATTTGATACACATGGTGCAGCCACTGTCCGTTTGATACACATGGTGCAGCCACTGTCTGTTTGATACACATGGTGCAGCCACTGTCCGTTTAAGACACATGGTGCAGCCACTGTCTATTTGATACACATGGTGCAGCCACTGTCTGTTTGATACACATGGTGCAGCCACTGTCTATTTGATACACATGGTGCAGCCACTGTCTGTTTGATACACATGGTGCAGCCACTGTCTGTTTGATACACATGGTGCAGCCACTGTCCATTTGAGACACATGGTGCAGCCACTGTCTGTTTGATACACATGGTGCAACCACTGTCCGTTTGATACACATGGTGCAGCCACTGTCCGTTTGATACACATGGTGCAGCCACTGTCCGTTTGATACACATGGTGCAGCCACTGTCTGTTTGATACACATGGTGCAGCCACTGTCTATTTGATACACATCGTGCAGCCACTGTCTGTTTGATACACATGGTGCAACCACTGTCTGTTTGATACACATGGTGCAACCACTGTCCGTTTGATACACATGGTGCAACCACTGTCTGTTTGATACACATGGTGCAGCCACTGTCTATTTGATACACATGGTGCAGCCACTGTCCGTTTGATACACATGGTGCAACCACTGTCTGTTTGATACACATGGTGCAGCCACTGTCTATTTGATACACATGGTGCAACCACTGTCCGTTTGATACACATGGTGCAACCACTGTCCGTTTGATACACATGGTGCAGCCACTGTCCATTTGATACACATGGTGCAGCCACTGTCTATTTGATACACATGGTGCAGCCACTGTCTATTTGATACACATGGTGCAGCCACTGTCTATTTGATACACATGGTGCAGCCACTGTCCATTTAGGACACATGGTGCAGCCACTGTCCGTTTGATACACATGGTGCAGCCACTGTCCATTTAAGACATATGGTGCAACCACTGTCCGTTTAAGACACATGGTGCAGCCACTGTCCGTTTGAGACACATGGTGCAGCCACTGTCCGTTTAAGACACATGGTGCAGCCACTGTCCGTTTTAAACACATGGTGCAGCCACTGTCCATTTAAGACACATGGTGCAGCCACTGTCCATTTAAGACACATGGTGCAGCCACTGTCCATTTGATACACATTGTGCAGCCACTGTTCCTTTGATACACATGGTGCAGCCACTGTCTATTTAAGACACATGGTGCAGCCACTGTCCATTTGATACACATGGTGCAGCCACTGTCTATTTAAGACACATGGTGCAGCCACTGTCCATTTAAGACACATGGTGCAGCCACTGTCCATTTAAGACACATGGTGCAGCCACTGTCCATTTGATACACATGGTGCAGCCACTGTCCATTTAAGACACATGGTGCAGCCACTGTCCATTTGATACACATGGTGCAGCCACTGTCCATTTGATACACATGGTGCAGCCACTGTCTGTTTGATACACATGGTGCAGCCACTGTCTGTTTGATACACATGGTGCAGCCACTGTCTGTTTGATACACATGGTGCAGCCACTGTCTATTTGATACACATGGTGCAGCCACTGTCCGTTTGAAACACATGGTGCAGCCACTGTCTGTTTAAGACACATGGTGCAGCCACTGTCCATTTGATACACATGGTGCAGCCACTGTCTGTTTGATACACATGGTGCAGCCACTGTCTGTTTGATACACATGGTGCAGCCACTGTCTGTTTGATACACATGGTGCAGCCACTGTCTGTTTGATACACATGGTGCAGCCACTGTCTGTTTGATACACATGGTGCAGCCACTGTCCGTTTGATACACATGGTGCAGCCACTGTCTGTTTGATACACATGGTGCAGCCACTGTCCGTTTAAGACACATGTTGCAGCCACTGTCTATTTGATACACATGGT